GCAAAACGGTTACTGTCTGGAAGCCGTTTGCGGTCGGTGGTCGTTTTGCCACCCGATCCACCCGGGAGGTCTTGTGCCTCCAACTTGACTAAATCCCGCATGAGGGTAAGCCAATATGTATACGTTATGAGTCCGAGCCCCAGGCGATGTGTCACAATAGAGGGGACTGTGTCTTTTATCACATCCAAGCAAGACTGCGCAGTCATCTCCAGATCCGGAGTAACAAAGAGTTTACTAACATACAACTGCAGACTATTCATGGAGTCGGTCCACTTGTTGTGCTTGAGCTTGTCAAGCTTGAGTCTAGCTTTGGTTGCAGCATGTGGATCAGCATATTGTTTGATCAAGAGTTCCTTGAGTGCGGCTATAGGCGTAGCCTTCAGCCATTTGTTCAGGTCATTTCTTTTATAGCCTGACTGTACAGCTTGGACTTCTAAGAAACTCCTTACGGCGTGTTCCACATTGGTCCCTAGGATCGACGACTGAGTCACTGGGGTGTCCCCAGCACATCAAAGTAGGATCGCATGGAGCTGATCCAATATTCGATGTCGTATTTTCCATCATACTTAGACGGAATTTGTGTCGCCTTCCTGTCCACATAGGGAAAGTTGCAGCTAGGACCAGCGCTCACTGGGTCCGAATTTGGGGCTGCAACAGTTCCAAAATGCCCAGCACTACCACTTGCCGCTGCAGCAGCAACAACAGCAACAACAACGGGGTCTGTACCTGCTGCAGATCCGGATAGGCTGTTGGCCACACTCAAAGAAGAAGAAGAAGAAGAAGATATGGTTGGAGGGGCAAGACTGGACTGATACGCAGCACTAGAAGCAGGGTAAGCAGGCGGAAGAACACTTTGGGCCGGTTGCAAGCTAGCAAACTGTTGCAGCTGGTCACGCTGTTGTTGCGTCATTAGGGCCATATCCTCACGCAGCTTCTTGAGTTCATCAAACACCTTGGCGAGTTGGCCTGTATGGTCTTCAACAGCCCGGACCTCTACTAAAGCCTTGAGGAGTGGGACAATCTTCTCTTCCACCTCATCATCAGTTAAGGCGGGCACGGTACTGACGACGGCTTCATGAGCCTTTACTTTGTCACCCCTCTCCTTCTCCTTCTCTTCCTCTTCCCTCTTCAATGCTTTTTCATAAAAGAACTGGTACTGCGCTTTTTCTGCCTCAGACACAGTGTCCATTTGCAGCTTCCACTCTGCTGAAGATGCCATGATGGAGGACGAGGGTGTCAATAAGTCTCTCAAGAGAGGTCCGTACTTCCTCACACTTCTGGGACGAACACTCCTTTTCCCTCTCCTCACTCCCTCAAGAGCAACACTCATAAGCTTTTCTCTTCTCTCTTTCTCTCTCTCTCTCTCTCTCTCTCTCTCTCTCTCTCTCTCTCTCTCTCTCTCTCTTTTTTCTTTTATACACATCTATATGTGTATAAGAGACAGCTTCTGGGACGAACACTCCTCTTCCCTCTCCTCACTCCCTCAAGAGCAACGCTTCTCTCTCTCTCTCTCTCTCTCTCTCTCTCTCTCTCTCTCTCTCTCGTTTGCGATCGTGTAGATGCAGGCATTTAACGAACCCAATGAAAGAAACAGTCTTGAAAGCAACTAGAAGAGAAGGTAGAACTCCTAGCCGGAGCGGCAATTCATTTGGACTGGAGAGCAGTCAAAAGTTCTCAAAACAACAAAAAATATAAGATCAAAGAGATCTGATTCCGCCACACAGTCTGGTCCGACTACGTATGAGGTCCTCTTAAGCCTAGTCGGATTCAGCTCCATGAAGACACAGCAAATCAAATCCACGGTGTACTACGTAAATGCAAGAAAGAATTGAGTGGTGTCCAAGGTGCGAGTCAGGCGGCGGATCGTGCGGTGAAGTCTGTTAAAACGTCTCAGCTGAGATCCCCTCAGCAACGAGTGTCCTGGGCCGAAGCATGAACTCCGAGTCCCAATCAGATAGAGCCAGGTAACTGGCGTCAACAGATTTGCGCCTGAGGGGCCCTTCTTGTTTGGGCCCGGTCCCACTGAGTCCCAAATGGTCCTAGTGGAGTGAGAACCGGGTCCCAACCAACAAGAGTTCCACAAAGACCTACTTTCTTCCCCTACCGAATTGAAAAACGAAATTTAGCCCCAGAAAGAACCTACAGACTACAGTCGCTCAGAATGAAATAAACAAAGCACTGTAGAAAGATATAGCATGGCATACAAGATACTCCATTCATTCACTCGTTAGGTGAGTAAGCAGTTCACACACCTCACACAAGATCAAGACTATGGAGGATGGAAGAAGAACCCAGAATACCCCAGCAGGCAGTCAATTCCATGCACACACACATGGGCACCCTGGCGGCACGACACTTACCTGAGTGGCCGGGCTCTTGAGATGAAAGAAACTCACCCCCCTCTCACATAGTCCTCCTGACCCAATTAGCATCCTCTACACTAGTGTCCTATCATCTAGGAGGGTCAACATCTACCCCAAAGTACAACGCCGGATCCCCCGTCGATGTTGAAGATCAAAACTTGCAGTCCGCAGGTGCAGATATGGCTGCCACCCTCAAGCTCACTCCTCGTCTTCCTTGAAGTCCAGATTCAAGTTGTAGGTGCCCTTCACTGTCGCCTCTCTCAAGTTGCATCACGAAGTCCCACCTTGTGTCTCGCCACCACAAACATGCACTCAAGCTACCTGGCCGGGTCTAATGTCGACCCTACACGGCCCTGCCAGGTGGGAGCAGCTTCCCCTTACCACGCTGCCCCACTTAACGCTAACTTCCACCCTAACCCTAAGTGGTTATCACTCACCACTAGGGTTAGGGTTAGGGCGGCAAAGTCAACTCTCGCCAGCAAGTAGAATCCGCTCCGATACCAATGTTACGATCCTGGCCAATTTCGAAGTATGCATTCATCAGAAAGTACAACGCTGTCCAATTGCAAAAAGAAATGAATGAACTTGAGAGGAGAGAGAGGGAAAGAAGAAGAAGAAGAAGTAAGAAAGAAGAAGAAGATTATGTACTCCAGCATACGCCAATGATAAGGCTCTTCTTCTTCGCCAACCAATCTCCTCCTCCTTATCTCCTCCCCTCTTATTCAAACAAGAAATAACAATAATAATGTTGAATAGCTGAACCAGAATCAATGTCTGAATCCCACTTCTACTGCAGGCACAACATGAGGTCCACCATAGCCATGGCCACCCTTCCTCTTCCTCTACATGCAGGCCGAGATTATGGCGGAGCAACGAGGGCTCTATCCTCCTGTCCAAAGGACAACCCAAAGCAGCTATGTCGCTGCCCTTCTGTCCCTAGGTCAACACCAGGCAGCTATGCCGCTGCCCACTCAACCTCCATGCCTGACTCTGTCCCGAGCTTCCTCGGTGCGGCACTACCCCTAGTGGGGCCTTCCAAATGCAGCGCCTAACAAGGTGATGAAGATGGTGTCCGCCATAGCCAGGTAGGTACCTCGCCACTCTCCTCCTTGGTCCYCTTCTCCCTCCTCCTCCTACCGGTAGAGCTCCACAATACCCAAGGTGGAAGCTCCCGGCTTCTTCCTCCCAGCAGCGCTGTAGTACCCAGCTCTACTCCAGCCAGCGCTCCAGCAGCATGTCGCCAAACTTGCACACTGAAGAATGAGGCCGACCTCCTCCCTCGGCCTCTTGATATAGCGGCCTGCTTGCCTCCTGGGCGGTGACTTCCAGGCCGCTCGGCCTCCCAAGCAACCGGTACCTCCTCCCTTTCG